CTGCCTGCCTCTGCCTCCCGAGTGCTGGGATTAAAGGCGTGCGCCACCAACGCCCGGCTTAATACAATCCTTTAACAAAAACAGAACAAAACAAAAACTGGGCGGTAGTGGAGAATGCCTTTAATCTCACCATTTGGGAGGCAGAGGCAGGTAGGTGGGTCTCTGAGTTCAAAGCCAGCCTGGTTTACAGAGCAAGTTCCAGGACAGAACAATCAGGGCTACACTGAGAAACAGTGACTCAAAAAAAAAACAAAATTAATAATAATAATAACAATAACAATAATAATAGGTACAGTTCCTCATGTTTTGGTGAGCCCCCCACCATAAATTTTTTTCATTGCTACATCATAACTGTAATTTTGTTACCATTATGAATTGTAACATAAACATCTGTGTTTTCTGATGATCTTAGGTAACCCCTGTGAAAGGGTCATTTGACCCAAAGAGGTCACAACCCACATGTTGAGAACCACTGATCTAGAGTGTCTTCCTCTCCCCCTTGTCACCCTTCCTAGGTGATCCAAGGCCTGGTCATTGGGAGACTGAGCACCCGTTTCCCAGAGGAAACCCTGCTGCGATCCAGTGTGCTGGTCTTTGCTATTGTGGGACTGGGAATGGTGAGAGCGCGCGCGCGCGCACACACACACACACACACATATACACCTGTTGTGAAGCAGGTCTCAGGAGCACACACACACACACACACACACACACCTGTTGTGAAGCAGGTCTGGGGCTATCCTCTATCCATGTCTTGTGTGTGCTCCAGCCCCTGGCCTGCCTCAGGCCACATTGCACTATCTCTCCCCCGAAGCTGACGTACTTTCCGTGTGGAGGTTATGGGTGGGAGCTCAGGGTGGGTGGCCAGCTGGCTTTGTAACTTCTCTGCTCAGCATGACCCTGCCCGTTGCTCCGCCAGGCGCTGATGTCCAGTGTTCTGCACTTCTGCTTTCTGATGCCTGGCCTGGTATTCGGGTTCTGTACCCTCAATGTGGTCACCGACAGCATGCTGACCAAGGCTGTGTCTGCTTCAGACACAGGTGAGCTACCCATAGGGGCCCCAACAGCCAGGGTTCCTCCCAGTGGCCTGGGTCAGAGAAGGTGAGGGTGATAAGAAAGAAGATCCTGCCCCCTTCCTAGCCCTGCTGACAAGCACTGAAGCAGGCAAGGGCACAGATGGAGGGCTTCCTGGAAGAGGCATTTAGCTGGGCTCTGATCCATGTCAGAATTTCACTAAAAAGAGAAGAGACCAGAGACTTTGTCTAGGCGGGGCCAGAGGAACAAATGAGTGGACTTTGAAGGGCTTACAGGGCCACTTAGGAAGGCAGCTGGAGTGATGAGAAGGCCAGAGAAGGAGACCAGTAAGGGAGACTTCCCAGTCCTTGACAAGACAGTGCTCAAAGCTTCCTGAATGGAGGGCTTGAATCCACACAGGCAGGGAAGTCCTCCAAGTCCGTCTAGGGCGGCCACTCCATGCAGCCAGGACAGCAGCTCCAAAGGGCGGGGCCAGGAAGTCTCTGGAAGGAGAGAAAGGGGTGCTAAGGCCAGGAGGGTGGGGCAGGCCAGGAGAAGCAGGCCAAGCCACCAAGGCCACGTCATGCCTGTGGCACCACCCCTTAGCTTGGGAAGAGCAGAGCCTGGCTTGCCTGGGAACAGGAGCCTGCAGAGGGGGTGGTAATTGCCCTGTCAGTTAGTGTCTGCAGGCAGGCAAGCAGGCGTGTGGGCAGTGAGAGAAGCTGCCCCTGAGTTTCCCCACAGCGGGAGTGTGGGAGGGGCCTTGCAGTCCCTTGTCTTGGCCCAGTTAAAAGCTTGGTCTCAGAAGGCCCTAGCCAGTGAGTAGCAAAGCTCAGGCAGTGGTCACCTTCTGGAGCAGAATGGGGCAGTGTGTGACTCCCTCCTGGGGATGGCAGGTAGGACGGGTACTATGTTAGTGAGCACTGTCCTCCACGTGCAGTCACTTTAACAAGGCCCTGTACACGCATGTCCACACTAAGACAGCTGACCAAAAGCATGGAGATGTGGGCTCACGCACTCAGGCGAAAACACTGGTAGCCCCTGTAGCCCTGGCCCTCACCCCTGAGATCCCCTGAATCTATAGGAGGATGGTGGAGGAACAAGAAGAGGAAGGGCCATATGAAAGGCACTAGGGACACCATCCAGCCCTAGAACCCTACAGTGGCCATCTCAGTCACCATTTGGAGAGAGTGTGAAAGCCACCACCCCGGATGTCCTGGGTGGAGCCCAGACTATGCAGATCACTTCTACACTGACAGGTCTTGGAGGGTGTGGCCTATTCCTGATCTGTGACCCCTTTCCCAGACTCCTCCCTTGCCTGGGGAATTTCTAGAGCAGGAAAGAGGCTCAGTCTCATCTACACAGTGAAACTGACCCTGTGGATGGAGGATGCTGTGCTTAATTGGGGGTGGGGGGTGCTGGAGGTGAGGGACAGCTGGGAGGAGGATGGAACTCTGGGAAGTGTTTCAAGCCATCCATGAACAATGGACAGAAGACTGGGCTATGGCCAGAAGGCAGGTAGCCCGTCCGGAGACCTGCCCAGGGTCTGACTGCTGTTTCCCCTTTCTCCCAGGGACCATGCTGGGCCTCTCTGCCTCTGTACACCCACTGACTCGCACTGTAGGACCCACCCTGGGTGGCCTGTTGTACCGCAGCTATGGTGTCTACATGTTTGGCCAGGTGCAGCTTATGGTGAATTTGTTTGTCCTATTGGTCCTCTGGAGGAAGCCGTTGTCCCAGAAGAAAGACAAAGCCCAGTGACCACAGAGCCCAGCGACCTGGCCCAGTCAGGCAATAAACTTCTGAGTTTCTTTCTCCTGAGTTCTTTGGGCTTTGCCTAAATCTGTGGGTAGAGAGCCTAGGGGTCAAGGATGGAGCCAAGCCAGGGGGCTTTCTGGAAGAGGAACTGCAGCTGGGTTCAAGGCTCTAGGGAGCACAAACTTGCCCAAATCAATTCCAGGTCATTAATCCAGCCCTTGAGTCCACTAACACAACCACTGAGGAGTCCTCCAGAAACAGCCCAGATACAGGGTGCTCCCCCTCCCCTGGCTCCCCCTCCCAGGATCTGAAGCAAGTTTGGTTTAAAAGACAGGAGCCAGTTGTGGTGGTGCATGCCTTTAATCCAGAATTCCAGAGGCAGAGACAGACAGATCTCTGAGTTCAAGGCCAACCTGGTCCATATACTGAGTAGCTAGTTTCAGGCCAGCTAGGGCTACACAGTGAGATCTTGTCTTTACAAGGAGAAGGAAGAGGAGGAGAAGGAGGAGGAGGAGGGGAACTAGTAGTCTTGGGAGGGAACAGCTGGGAGCCAACACATGACCCAGCCTTCCCAGTTTGAGAATTGCACCAGGGCCGCTGGTCTGGCCCACTTCCCCACAGACCTCCCCTGTGACAGGAGCTAGGTTCTCCTCCTGAGACCAAGTAGCCAACTCCAGTGGGCTTCTTTGAAAGAAGCTGTTAGAACTTAGAATCTGGGCTGAAGAAATGGCTCAGTACTTAGGAGCACTTGCCGAGGACCCAGTTCAATTCATAGTATCCACATGAAGGCTATTACTCTAGTTCCAAGGGATCTGACGCTCTTTTTTTTTACTTCCATGGGCTCTGGGCACACATGTGGTGAACATACATACATTGGGGGGGGGGACCTTAGCAGGGCATGATGGCGCATGCCTTTAATCCCACCAGGTGGAGTTCGAAGGCATTCTGTTCTACAAAGTGAATCCCACACAGTCAGGGATACACAGAGAAAAACTCTGTCTAGAAACAAACAAAAAATCCCCCACAAACAAACAAACAAAAACCTTAGAATCCTTAAAACTCAGAATCCCGCATTCTGACCACACTCCATCTACCACCTCAGGACACAGCGCTTAAACCCTACCAGGAAGAGGGGGCTTATCACCTGAGCTTGGTCATGTGGTCATGTGAGGATCTACGGGAGGAGTCTTAAACAAATGGGACAAAGGGTCCTGGGACCCTGCTGATCACTTCTGCTCTTAGAAGAGGCCTTCCCCCATTTACTTTAAGAGAGAAATTCCTTGTAAGAAAAAACAATCCTAGCACTCAAGACTTCCTAAGGAGAAAAGGGAGCCCCTCCCAGTCCTGGCTTCCAAGGCCTGGGAGACATGTGGCACCTCCATCTTCATGACATTCCCATAGCCAGAGAGGCCCAGGGAGGATGATACCCTGTTTGGGCAGTGACTCACTCTGCCTTTTTGGACTTGTCCTCCAGCAAAACCTTCAGAGAAGGGACACACCTCTGTCTCAGGCCCTACCACCTGGCTAGCTGCCTACCTGATACAGATTTTTGAGCCACTTACAGAGAACACAGCCAGGTGAGAAGTCAGAGTTGACATCTGGCAAGTGACTCAAGAAGTGGGGTAGAAGCAGAACAGGTGTCCGGTGAGCCCCCAGGCCTCACACCAATGCCACAGCTCTGGGTCCCACTGCTGCATCCCTGGAGACAGTCAGGCCTGCCTCCCATCTGGGACAAAAGAAGGACACAGTGTGCTAGTCCTGTTGCTAGACACTGGACAGGAGGACTGGTAGCTGGACTCTCAAGTCACTGTGGTCCAGTGGTGGGGGTTGTCAACAGTGCTTTGAATCAGGTGCTGGACAGGTGGTATGTGGGTGGGAGGCGGCAACGAGGGCCACCACCCTAGTGGACAGAGCAACTACTCAGGTGTCCAGGAGATGCCAGTGAGTGAACTCTGAGGAAACATGGCCACCAGCCCTATCCTCCCCAAGCCACACCCAGGAGCAAAAGGTAGCCAAGCCACACCCAGAGTACTTCCTGACCTGGAGAGGCTGTGAACCCCACTAGCAGGTGACAATTCATTCAAAGGCAGTTTGAATGGTTCCTGGGATATGGAGAGGGAATGACACTGGCTGGGAGACCCTTTCACTTCTGTCCCACCCCCCCCCCACCCCCGACAACACACACCAGCAGGAACTACACGGACCACACAAGTTTTTTTTTTTTTTTAAAAAAAAGAGAAATGGCATTGTTTTATTTGGAATGAAAATACAGTATAAAAAAATATTAAGACGGAACGGTGGGTTGACAGTTGACGACCATCAAAATAAATACAGTCCAATAAGTTAGCGCGCCCGCACAGCGGGGCGAGGCTCAGCAAGCACGGGAAAATCTTCAGCGAAGAGCAGCGGCGTCGCCCGGGGCATCTGCTGGGCTCCTGGGATCCTGTTTGACGCGGCCGCGTGGGTTGGTTCCCGGCTCGACTGGTCCCGTGCGTTTCTGTGGAGAGAAGACTTGAGTCAGGAGCTGTCCGAGAGCAGGTCCGGAAGCAGCCTATAAGTCTCTAAGTGGGAGGAAGGGTAGGCGAGAGACTGCCTTAGTCCCAGGTCCCCTCTCCAAAGCGTCTTCAAGGAGCTAGGATCCCCGTACCCTCCCCTGCAGCATTTGAAATCGAACGTTTTCCCCAGTGGTCCGCATGACCCGCATCCACACACACCCCCATCCCCAATACTGGGACAGCGTGGACAAGGGTGGAACTCACCACGGACTCAGGGCGCGTTGCTCCGGAGACTCCGGCTCCGCTTCAGACTCCGCGCGCTGAAAACGGTGGCGGCGGAAGCCTTCCACCGCCCGGCGGTTCTGGTAGTCGATCAGTGCCAGGGTGATGGACGCGTTCCAGCAGCTCTCGCCGGTGCAGCGGAAGTCGATCTCCTTGTAGTCGGTGGTGACGATGGTGAAGTACACGTACTTGCGGGTGTGCTCCACGCAGTCCACCTTGAGGATGGAATGGAAGCGCAACTCCTTAGCGCGCTCTCTGGTGCCGGAGAAGAGGCGCAGGCTGTCGTCGGTGAGCACGCCGCGCTTCTTCTTCCAGAGCTGGAACAGGCTGTCGCTTCGCTTCTCCAGCTCCCCTTCACGAACAATCTCTCCGGGAGTCATCATGAGTTTCGAAGCCATCGCGAAAGGATGTATCGAATGCGCTGGTTCTGCTGCGGGCCGCAGCGTGGGCCTTATAAGGACTCCGCCCCACGTCCCAGACACGCCCCGGAGCCGGGCACTCTCCTGCCCAGGCAAGCTCTTGGGGCTGCCCCCCCCACGACCGCCCCGGGCTGCCCCTTACCCACTGCCTGGGGCTACCGCTTATCGGAGGCTGGAGGGGGCAGGGGGGCTGCTCGGCGCCTCTCTGACGGGAGCCCCGAGCCTCCCCTCCAGCCCCAACGTCCCAGCTGCCTGTTTCACCTCCCCAGCCGGGTGCCGGCCCCGCCTGCCTAGGAATGCACAGCAGAGGTCCCTGCTCGCTGTGACTCACTGGCGGGAAAGACCCAGGGAGCGCCCCGACCCCTAGACGGGACCACAGCGCCCAGAATTCCACTCACTGAGAGACCCAGGGCTCCTGGTTCACAAGGGTCACAGACCAACGGGTTCTTTCCCAGCCCCGGCAGCCGTCTCCTCCCAACTTGGGCGCGCATCCAAAGGCCACCCACTAGACCTTCTTGGGAAGTAGCCCTGCCCCAAAGGGCTTTATTACCCATATTGCTCCCCGGAGCTGTGCCTCGAAGGAGTACTCTAGTTTCTTTTCCTTTCCGTAAAATGGAACAATGACCTTTATTAGGTTAGGCAGTGAGGAAAGGAGATGGGGGGAATAGCACCCCGCCATGCTCAGCCATGTGAACAGAGAGGCCTGCTACTTCCTGGGCCCTTTGTGTGGCCCACTCTGGGCGACAGACACCTTGGACTGCAACCCTACAACCCCGACTTGTAGAAAGCTCAGGGGGGCTAGCAAGACTTCCCTGGAAAATGTGGGGACCGACCTAGGGGCCAGGGGCGGCGGGGGCGGCTGAGTCATCGCCTTTCAGTGCTCCGTTTTATTTACCCTCTGCCTTTAAAGGTTTAATAGCAGCAGGAAGCAGACGCTGCTCCTCCAAGGTTCCCAGGGATGGGGGAGGGGCTGGCCCAGGGACCCCTGAGAGTCCCCCACAGGTGTGGGATGGGGAGTGGGGTGCTGGGGTGGTATGGGGGAGCAGGGGTGCTGTAAGGAAACACCCCTGGCTGTTAGAGAAGTAGACACCCTGCGTCTAGGCCCGCAGGATCCCAATAAAAACACAGGAGCCTCCATTTAAACAACTAAAATTAAGACTGACAATCAGCCTAAAAGTCCAGTCCGGTGGCCTGGTGTGATTTTGAGGCAGATATATCCCGCAATGAGGAGGCTGAGGCAAGAATGGCCAATCTAGTCAGTCTGGATTTTATAGTGAGTTCAAGACTACCCAGAGATGCACAGCAAAAAATGAAGAGGCCCTGAGAGATGGCTCAGCAGTTATGAGTGTTTGTTCTTTAGAGGACCGAAGTTTGTTTCCTGCTTCCAGTTGTGTGGCTCATAACCATCCACCCAGTTCCAGGGAACATGTGTGTTCCTGAAGGGGAGCTGGAAACTTGGGACTGGCCCAAAGGGCTCAGGGGTTAAGAATACGTGTTGCTTTTTCAGAGGCCCTGGGGTTGGATTCCCAGCACCAAATGAGTGGCTTACATCCATAACCCCATGGGATGTCCTCTTCTGACTTCCTCAGGCACCAGGCACCCATGCTGTGCACAAATATACATACAGGCAATACACTTAAACACATAAGCTGAACTAAATTTAAACTTTTTAAAAATATAAGTCAGGGGGGCTGAAGAGATGGCTCAGAGGTTAAGAGCACTGACTGCTCTTCCAGGGGTCCTGAGTTCAATTCCCAGCAACCACATGGTGGCTCACAACCATCTACAATTCAATCTGGCGCCCTCTTCTGGCATGTAGATATAACATTGGATATGTGATAAACAAATAAATCTTTAAAAAAAAATATAAGACAGGTGGTGGTAGCACATGCCTTTAATCCCAGCACTCAGGGAGGCAGATGCAGATGAATCTCTGTGAGTTCAAGGCCAGCCTGGTCTACAAAGTGAGTTTCAGGAAAGCCAGAGCTACACAGAGAAAACCTGTCTCAAAAAACCAAAACAATTTTTCCAAAAAAAAATAAACCAAAATATAAACAACAAAAAAGAGAGGGCTGGCAAGATGGTCCAGTGGTTAGAGGCACTTGTTGCTCTCAATCTTAATGGCTTGAATTTAATTCCTGGTATCAACATGGCGGAGGAAGAGAACCTGAGTCCCTCAGATTATCCTCTGAGTTTTGTGCAGGAATGCACACACACAGAGATCAAAATACTGTTAAAAATCTTTTAAAATAATGAACAAAGAAATCCTGGACCCACCCAATGACTGTCACCATGTTCCACAAGCCACTTTACCCCAATGCACACGGACCCCGAGGAAAAACGGGATTTACAAGCTCTGCCCAGGGCCCTGAGGGGTGTATGGAAGAACAGGAGGGTTCAGGATTCCTATGGAAGAGGACAACAGCAATATAGAGATAGGTAAGCAGCCAACGAGTCCTGCCAGCCTAAGATGAGAGCAATCCAGAAGGTGGATGGGAGGGTGCTTTGGGGACCCTTGGGTAAGATAGGTAGTGAGTTCATGCTGAAGACATCCCAGCCGACTAGTCAATGTCAGGCTGAAAGAAGTCCCAGGAAGTGCCAGCTCTCCCTGGTGTCCCTTCCCCAGGCTGCTTAGCCACACTGTGGCCTGTGCTGCCATGGCTTATGCTTCCAGGGGGCGAAGCCCAAGGCAAGAAAGAGGCAGCTCTAGAAAGTGGAAGTTAGGAAAGGAACTAGCTGCAGCTGCCCTGGATCCCCTCTCCCATCATGCTGTTCTCCGTGTTCCTTGCAGCTCACTGGAGCTCTTGCTGCAGGCCTCACAGACATCTGGTGTTGCTCCTGCACGTTGCACAGTCCAGACTGGGTGCTGGGGAGGCATCAGGGAGCGAGCCCTACTTCTCAGCAGAAACACTGCTGGTAGAGGATGGTGTGAGCTTAGGGGTGGGGATCTGGTACTTATGGGGGCCTTGGAAGATCATGGAAGGCCTTTTGCTATCCAAGTAAGAGGTACTGTGTGCCCAGCTTCCACCACCATTCCAGAGATCCAAACAGAATATTCTAACGTGCATCATTGGAGAAGAAACAAGTCCAAGGGACAGAGGGCCTGGATGACCTCAAGGGAAGAGAAGAAGGGTGGACTTTTAAAGACCAGGGTGGGGACAGATGATCGTGAGGCTGTAACCCAGCTCCTCTCTACCCAGAAGCCCTGCTGCTCTCTGGACAGGGCCCTGCTGTGGGGAAAGAAGTGGGGGAGGGAACTGGGAGGCTCGGCACAGGACACAGAAAGCCCTGTGTCTGTCGTCCTCTTGAGGCTTCCTGTCCAAACGGTCCAGACCCCTCAGACAAGGCCAAGACTGGGTGTGAGGTACAACAGCTTCTGGTGAGCTGGTGTCCAGATGAGCAGAGCTGACTTTAGCCAACAACATTAGACCCTCTGTCAACAGAGAGCCCTTGACTGGTCACCTGACAGCTGTTGGACATCCTGTGGTCTAGCAAGGCCAAGTCAGTAAGAACCCCGCTGGTACCTTGGACTGTGCTCTTGGGTAGGTGTAGACTTTCTTAGTAACATACTATGGAACACCTGCTCTATACAGGTACTCAGAAAGAACAGTGCTATGTCAGGGTCACACTGCCAGGAAGGTTCTGTCCCCAATCCCCAGAGGCCATCTGAGTCCCCGGAGTAAGGCTGTTGGGGTACATCAGGAGGAAGCAAACTCTGACTCAAGAGCCCAAGTGACAGGCCTTGGGCCCCCGGGCCTTTTTGTTGTCTGTTAGTATGTTGAGACAGGGTCTCATGCAGTCCAGGCTGGCTTTGAACTTGTTGTATAGCAGAGGACAGCCCTAAACCTTTGATCCTCCTGCTTCTACTTGTCAAGTGCCGGTACCATAGGTGTTCAGGACCGCTCCTGGTTTGATGCACTGCAGATCAAACCCAGGACTTTGATTGTGCCAGGCAACTGAGCTACAGTCCCCAGCCCCCTCTGCTAATTCTTTCTTCATTTGTATTTGTCTATGTGTGCGCACAAGTGTGTCTGTGTCACAGCACACAGAGTTAAAGGACAAGCTTCAGGAGTTTGTTCTCTCCTTCCCCCATGGGTTCTGGGCACCAAATTCAGGGGATCAGACAAGCACAGCAATTGCTTCTACTTGCTGAGCTGTCTTGCAGTCCCCCCCCCCACAATTCCTTCTATATACATTGTTTTTAGACTTATTTTTAATTAAGGGCTGGTGGGCCAGGGTTAAGAGCACAGTCTGCTTTTGCAGAGAAGCCAGGTTGGGTTCCCAACATCTACATGGCAGCTCCTAACCATCTGTAACTCCAGTTCTAGGGCATCCAGCACCCTCTTCTGGCCTCCTCAGGTACTGCATAAATGTGGAGCACAGATGTATATGCAAGCACTCATATCTCACAGAATCAAAATAAATATTTTTTTTGGTTTTTTGAGACAGGGTTTCTCTGTGGCTTTGGAGGGTGTCCTGGAACTCACTCTGTAGACCAGGCTGGCCTCGAACTCACAGAGAACCGCCTGCCTCTGCCTCCCGAGTGCTGGGATGAAAGGCGTGCGCCACCAACGCCCAGCTAAAATAAATATTTTTTAAAGAACTTTTAAAATTAATTTAACTAGTTAGCTAATTGATTAAGGGATGCTGCAAGTCAAACCCAGGGTCTTGTGTGCCAGTCAAGAGTGCTACCTCCTTTTTTTTTTTTTTTTCCCCGAGACAGGGTTTCTCTGTATTGTTTTGGAGGCTGTCCTGAAACTAGCTCTGTAGACCAGGCTGGCCCCGAACTCACAGAGAGCCGCCTGCCTCTGCCTCCCGAGTGCTGGGATTAAAGGCGTGCGCCACCAACGCCCGGCAAGGGTGCTACCTTCTATTGAGATATTCATCAGGCCCTGCCACTTTTTTTGTTTTGTTTTTCTTTTTTGAGACAAGGTTTCTCTGTGTAGCTTGGAGGCTGTCCTGGAACTCTCTCTGTAGACCAGGATGGCCTCAAACTCACAGAGATCCACCTGCCTTTCCCTTAAATCCCAGCAACCGGAGGCAGAGACAGACGGATCTCTATGAGTTTAAGGCCTAGAAAAAATGTTTCTTAAAAGGGGGAGAGGGTGCTGGTGAGATAGTTAAAGCACTTGCCATCGAATCCGACAACAGCCTGCAGATTCCCAGGACCCACATGGTAAGAGGAGAAAACTGAGTCCCACAGTTGTCCTCTGATTTCTACATGTACACACACCCATACCTCCCCACACAAAATCAATCAACCAATAAACAAAAGAATGTGATAAAAAAAAAAAACCTGGTTCTATTGCACTGGGTACCTGGAACCAGGAAAAACGCCCCTTAACTTGGTGTGGAGAAGGTTCTGGGTTAGGACCTCTCAGACAGAGGTG